GAGGACGAAACGCTTCAACTATGAACTGTGACCTGTTTAATACGTCACACGTAGATTAGATAAAATAATTTCGCTTTCGTAACATTATTCACTTTCCCGTTGGAATAAACATTAGCGACAATTACAATATTTTTGAACATTCTGCACTCAGTGTTGATCAGCTTAATGAAATCCAATCTTTAAAAGAACTTTTAAAAACAATGCAAATTTAATAATCTCTGCAAACATGCAACTTTAACTGGAAATAACCTTTTCATACTTAATCACTTGGGATATTATTACTAAGATCCATATTGAGATTCAAACGAAACAGAGGATATTTCATATTAATGAACAGAGTTTGGAATATTATAACAACGCGAGATATTGCATATGGAACTAATCGCAAATATGCATTGTAAAGTATGTACACGCGATTAAACAGCAAATCTGAAAAAAAATTTTTGAAACACATGTTGAAACACATTTCAGAGAAATGTTTTATAACACGTTTGCTAATTTCTTGAGTCGATCACCTTTAACAATAACCCTATTCTGAATAGATCATAAACACCTGTCTATGAATCTATTTTTCGCAGTCTGGGAGCACATATACATCTTGCACTGTGATTATTCCATAATAGGAAAACCAATTTTGACGAGAACGGTTGTCATTTAATTACACGTATAATTATCTGTTTTTATTTGTTATGTTCATTTACATCCTTTTACTGTCATAAAAATAAGAAAATTATCATTTATCTTTTGTTTTTTAAAATATCACTTTGCAATTTCTTATTAATAGTTTTAATGTATTTCAAGCGTTTCGAGTTATACTTTACATCTTGTTTTTAATATTTTACTTATATTGGTTAGGTTAGGTTTGTACTTATTTTGTTCTAGTACACGTTGCTTTAACACTTTTTCACAATATTTTAAAATATTTATCGTAATGTATGGTAGTGAAATTTAGTATTACGTCGACTGATTCCACGTATTCACTATTTGGAATACAATTTCGGATCGACCTTGCTACAACTTTACCGTATCGTCAGAAGGCTAACCAGATCTCTCTCGGAACACTTACGAAGAACGTTTATAGTTTTCTTGTTGTAGTCACGTTTGATGCAGTAGTGGGGTACCAAGAGTTAAGTAACGATGAGTCAATCCACGTCAATTAATTCATAAGGCAGCACACAAATCATCATAGACGAATGCAATGAACGATAGGAACGGAACGTGCCTGGAACACCTTTTCCTTTTTTCCTTTTTGATGATTTGACAGGAAAAGATGGGAAAATCCTCAGACGTTCAAATAAGTATCCCAGCTTCCCAACGATTACTCAAAAAACAAAAATGTATTCATGTAATTTTACGATGATAGGAGTAACAACCAAACATTTTCTAACGCTCGTCAAATCTAATGAAATTATTATTAAATATGCTTTTATTGTTCCATTAAGCTTATTCTCGGTTCAAGTGTTTTGTTCTAACATTTAAACTTCCTCAAATTACCACAAAATATATTACAATTTTTTACTTAATGTAATTCCAGTTTATGTAAATACAAAAACACAAGTAAATCTGCTTAGAAAATTTAGAAGATACAATCATATACAATTATTCCAAGTAGCAAAAATAACGAGAGTAGTTCCGTTATTTCTTTGTCACACGTATGTTTGCTGATAGCAATTGTGTGTGACTGACGATCGAAAACGATATTCTTCTGAAGGCAGCAGGAAATTCATTAGCAAACTTCAAATACTACGTTTTTACTCATCTTATTACCATGTACAGTGATGGATACAATGATTACGATACTTTTTTTAAGTAAGTTTAGGAACATGCATTTAGATTACGTTCCAAAATCTTCGTCGCCGATGAATATTTGCTTGATGGCCATTCTGAAACCATTTTGAGCGTGTTCGATTTATGTATTTCTTTAGTAAAATTATCCGAAGAGAAAAGGTTTTGGAACGTAAACTTGAATCTAAATGTGCGTTTCTAAATTCATTATAAAAGAGTCGCAACCATTCTGTCCATTACTGCATGTACATTAGATATCATTTATGCCTTCCTCGAATTTGTGCACATATGAGCATAGTTATTTATACATTTTACATATACATACATGGAAAATGTATGTATGTTCTATGTGCCTAAATTTATTTGGGAAGGCATCAGTGATGCCTAGTATACGAACAACAAAACGTAAGAAAGTAACGATTCATATGTTTAAAAAAAAGGATATAATTTATTAACGCGTGTAAATTAAAACATTGTCGCGATTTTCAAAAAGTATTGAATGTGTGTATCGATTAGGGCTATCGATTGGATACTTGTTTTAAGATTCACGTGTACACGTAATCCGTGTCCACGGATTTAAGGTACCTTCATTCACGTGTACCTATGTACGTGACATGTGTGTACGTATAGTCGTGTATGTGACACGTGTATTCGAATATTCGTGTAAGTGTGATAAGTAGTGTTCTTAGCCAGAATAAATTCTTGGAAACTTCGGGGAAAAAACCGGTTTTTTCGGGTTTTTTTCTTTACCATATTTTTCCAGGCTTTTTTCTTTTAAGATGATTTTATTTTTATTTTCCTCTACGTCGATTATTTTAAAATTAATATTTAATAGATTATTTTACATTTAAGAACTCTAATAAGTAAATAATTAAGCAATAAAGTTGGCTGTTATAACTTATGACCATTTTAATTTTAATTAGAAAAATTTCATAGTTTATGATTATAACTACAGACTACTAAAGGGTAAAGGCTAAAGGCATTAAATTGTTACGTCGTGTTCTCCGCGGAGCGTCCACTATCTCAAGTCCCTTTTTATCGGGACTGACTATGCGGAAGGACGCCGTACAGAGAACACTGTTTTCTCTCGCCGCGCTCCAACAGATGCGCGTCGAGAGTCGGGCGTATCTATTAAAGGGCTCGAAGTGGGTCAGTGAGCCGAAGCTCGCTATGACGCCCCTTCGAGTTCTTATACGCCCGTGGGTCCTCTTTTGGGTCAGAGAATTTGATCTCTTTACCCGGGGACGGACCCTGTGCAATTTTAAAATAACTAGGAATGAAATGGGAGGTTTTTTATTGATTGGTAGTTCTTGTTATCGTATAACATTTAAACTTTATTTATATATATATGTACATAAATATATATATATATACATATATATTTGTGTTATATATAAACTAATAATATATCTTGCTACAGAGTTATTGTTTCTATTATAAATTCCACGCTGGATGTGGAGCTGGTGGGCGAGGGTGGAGAGATGTCGGGGAAGGGGTTATTAATAGGAGAAAGGGGAAGGAGTTCTCCAAGGAACTCCACGGGAGAGGTGTAGGCGCTGGGAGATCTAGAAAGGATATCTTCTAGCAGGAATTCCACGCTAGACGTGGAATTGGTGGGTGAAGGTGGAGGCAGGAATTCCACGTCGGACGTAGAATTCCCTGGGGAAGGGACGAAGAGAATTTCCTCGAGAAATTCTACGTCGGGGATCTCACCAAGAAACTCCACGCTGGAGTCAGAATTAGAGGGGGAATGGGGAATAAAGTCGATGGGAGAAAGTAGTGGGGAATAAGACGGAGATGAAGAGTATGTCGTGGTAGGCGGAGAGGGAGGAAGGTGGTCATACGCAGGGGGAGAGAAATCTAAAATCCTAGGCGCTTGGATGTCTGCTTCTAATTCAAGGATGAGCTGTTGGGCGAGTTGGTGGATCTGTTCCAACCCCCCGTCTAGTTCAGCGAGCGCGAGGTGTTGATCCATTGTAATCGTGGAGTTTTATCAGGTTAGTCGCGGATCTTCTAGTTTTATGGGGGTTACTTATATACTAAGTTCTAGGCCTCGATTTAGGTGGTGGAGTAAAGAGGACTTACTCGTAGTTGATATTTCTTTGATGAACTTTCGTGACCGGTCGTCGTGGGGATAGATGATGATCGGGGAGTTTGTCGTCTTCCTCTGATTGTCGGGGGACCCGTGGAAGGCCTCGGCTGTTGTTGATGGACGAGGAGTTTGTCTTCCTTATGGTGATGGCCCTTAGACGTTTCTCACACGACTGATGTCACACGTTTTGCTTTTTACTAGAGAAGTTAAGTGCGCTTTCCTCCGCGGAATCAGGGTTTATATACCCTATTTTTCGTAGGGAGTGGGTTGAATACGCTGATTTGGCTGGAGCTTATTAGTGGATCGGAGCAACAATTGTCTAACTTATTTTCTAGTGGGGATTCGGTGGCGCCCGATTGTCGCCTGTTTTTTTGTGACAAAGGGTACCAGTCCTCTCATCGTTTGCTAATAAAGTTTAATTATCTCTTCTAGAGCGCGGCTGTAGGTCGTAATACGGTGACGTTAATGGGATTTGTCAATTAGGAGGTCTGGTTCCACTTGTCATCGTGGGTTTTGAGAGTTTGACAGATCATAAAAATGAAGAAAGATTGTTAGTTCGTAGAAACGAAGATTGTTAGATCGTAAAAAGGAAAGATGGTTAGATCGTAAAAAGGGAAGATTGTTAGATCGTAAAAATGGGAGATTGTTAAATCGTAAAAATGAAGGGGTATAGTTCATCTTGCAGCTGTGACCTCTCATGGGTCGACAACCTCTCATTTCCTTACTGTCTTGGGGAATCATTCGTGGGAACGGTCGCAATGCTATTTTTAGGAAAGAAAGAAATCGTGAAGTCCGCTGGACGTAACAAAATGTTAATTAAAAAAAGAAGCAAAGTAAGTGATATTGTAATATATTAATTTACTAATTGTTTATATATAATACATATCTCAAAACTGTGTTCACAAATTATATATCTATGTTAATGTTATAGAGAAGATAGAAAACTACATTTTTTATAAGAGTAATTGAGTAATACAGATGTATACAGGTGTACTGTATTTATAACAAAAAATATACTATTTTGTACCTTATTATCACAGAACATACGCCTGATAATACAAAGAAATAATACAATAAAAAATAATATAATAAAAAATAAAAATATCTAACTATTAGATACTGACTATTCAACTTCAGCTTTATCATTGTCAGTTGTACTAGGTAGATCTGAATCTAAATGGATGCTTGAATCGGTCTCTGTATCAGATTCTACATTATTACTTTTTGCGTCAGATTCTGATTGTGAATCAGTGGAAACATCATTATTTTCTTCCATACTCCCACTTGCATCTTCCATAATATAGCGCTTGCGCTTCTTTGGTAATTCATCAAACAAACGTAGGTTCCATTGCACTGAAACAAGCTTCTCAGTCTTCTCATTTCTAAGACGATTTCGCTTCTTAGTGTGGATTCCTCCGAATGTTGACCACACTCGTTCACATGCAGCTGAGCTAGGTGGAATATTTAACAGGCGGATTGCTATTACAGCAATAGGCTCTCCAGCACAGAGTCCCTGCCACCACGCAACTGGAGTCGTATGTTCGACAGCTCCAAAAACTCCAGTGTAAGGAGACCAGATACCAGTTCCAGCTCGATAGTTAGCTAAATTAGCCAATACCTGACCTTTGTCAAGTTTCAAATGCTCACAAAGTTTGTTGATTACTTTATATATTGATGGCATATCTGAACTGCTTAAATTTTTATCTTTATATCTGGGATCAAGCAAATAAGCTACTTTATGAATAGGCTGACAGGAAAAGTTTTCTCGATGCTTGAAAGCACGTAGTACCTTAAGATTATCTGTCTCACTGAGATTGCTTTTATCAAGAGCTTGTGAAATCTGTTCCTCTATTTTCTTAAAGTAATATGGCACATCAGAAAGAGTAGCAGAGTCTGACTCAAGAGGTGTAAGAACATCAGCAATTGGTTTGAGGATGTTCAGAGCATATTGAATTTCCATCCAGAAATTATCATTCAGAATAAAAAGCCCTTATATTTTGTAGGATATCGAGACCTTCTTCAATTACAGTTTTCTTGAGAGCCGATTTGTTACATTGAAGTGAGTTGAAGAGCAAAACGTCACCAGAAAATCTAGTGTTGTTGGGTAGCTTTAAAGATGGTGCATTGTGTTCTTGTTTGGAGTTGAAAACATTATGAACCACATGTTTGTGATTAAATACTTTCACAATAGACTTTGCATTCTCTTTCAGTTCTTTCAGTGATTCAAGTTTCATTATATCCTTCATCAGCAAATTCAAGCCATGAGCTATACAGCCAATAGTAAATATATGATCATACTTTCTCTTAATCAGTCTCCATGCCTTCTTCATATTTTTGGCATTATCAGTTATCACAGCGGTAGTTTTTTCAGGTCCAATCGTATCAATTACTTTAATCAATTTATCACTTATATACTCTTCTGTTTCTCTTTGCGCTCCTGGAGCCACTGCTTTTAGGAAGACTGGCTCAGGAGTAGTAACAATAAAATTTACTATTCCTTCGTTCCGAACATTGGACCAGCCATCACTCATGACGCCCAGAGACACAGCCGAGTTAATTTTGTTCTTCACTTTATCCTGCACGCGAAGATATTCTGCATTTAGTAGTCTTCCTCCCAGAACAAAAGGTGACGGAATTTTGTAGCAAGGCCGAAGAAGATTAAAAACTTGGTGCCAATACTGATTATCAAGTACAGATACAGGCAATCCTGTGGCGCAGATAGCACGCATTACAGCAAAATCAATTTTTTCACTTTCTTCTTGAGACATTAAATCTAGAAATGAAGTCATCTTGCGTACTTTTGTGGATCGTTGAACAACATCTGTTGGCTTGTCTCCACCCGATGACGAAGCAATAACGGCACTTTGTACATTTGAAGTTACAGCTACATCATCAACGTCTTCCTCATTGTTTTCCTCTTGAAAATCTTTCCTCAAATCTTGTGGACACTTCTGACATCTTAGGCCGAGATGATTTCTTAGACGAGTAGCATTTGGAAATTTGTAAATTGCTGAACAATAATTGCAAACGACTGACTGTATTTTCTTTCCATCTTCCGACCTGATTTTTTTATAGTGTTTCCACACGTCTGATGTTGGACGCTCCATGATACTGAAAACAAGTAGTAAGAATTCAATAAATAAAGGACCTTAACCTAATCATGACAAAGCCTAACGCAGATGTCCCTTTCAAGCTGTGAAAACTTTGCAAAATGTAGAACATTGAAATAACTGTGAAATTAATGAAAATAATTACCTGATGGATCTTCAA